ATACGGACATACATACATACATCACACCCGCATGCGCACATGCAAGAACAACAAAGACATCACCCAATTAGCTTTCATAACGGCCGCAATCAGCACACTTTGTTGCCACGGCCATGAGTCATACTAGTAGCTAGTCAGCAGTTCCAGAAGCAGTGCAGAGATACAGCATCACAAGACTGGTAGGCACAATCAGGATCATCGTTACGACTACCTTTTGCTAGATCTATTTTGATCTCTCTTTCCTATTGTTGGTGTGGTTTGGGATATACATGTTCTCATTATGCAGACCATGACATTGCTCATTTTAGTTTCTAGAAGCAGCATGAAACTGTACTTAGTCATACTGCTGACGATGTTGACCATGTGCTGATTTGCTTACTGGAGCTCTTGCCGTTGTGTACGTGTATGAGCATTGGCCGTATTCCTGTTGTCGTGGTTGCTAGTGGTGCAGAACAGCGCCGCACTGAATCACTGTTAAAGCAGCAGTGTAGGCTTGTCTCCAGGGGCTTGCATGGTGGCAAGCTTCAGGAGTGCTTCGTGAATTCGAGTTTCCAACCTTCCAGGAACTCCAGTTCCAACCAGCAGCCTGCAAGACTTGTGACTGGTCCCATCAAGGCAGCTGCGGAAACGGCTTGCGGACGGAGCCAGGCTTGAAGTTTGGAGCAAGTCAAAGCCCACTGGGCACTCTGTCAGCTCATAATGTGCTCATGGCTATGAGATGTGAGCGCTGTGGCAGGCTGTCGGGAGATGTCCTGGGAGAGGCTGCAAGAAGGGTGGCTTGTGGATGCTTGGGGTGCGTTTTCCGAGCTTGCAGAAGGCGCTAACCAGCAGCTTCCACGCCATGGACGACATGCTGCGGTCTCCGGAGCACGAGCGGCAACTCTTGGCCCTGAAGCAGGCTCCTCGCGCCTCGTCGCGTCACGGCTCGTTAGGGCTCGTGGATCCGTCTGCAGGTGGCCAGAACGACCTCGAAAGGCCCTGTCTTCTGTGACAGTTTCACTTCTGTGGCCTCCAGGAGCAACTTGCTCTGCCTTGCTCGCAGGCATTGGGGGAGCTTCCTCGTCGTCGACCTCCTCCTCCGACTCAGGCACTGGCACATGCGAACAGCACTGGGCCCAAGCGGTCTCTAGCATTTTCTGTGTCATGCTGTGTCTCAGGGTCATCCTCTGGATCAGACTCGGAGGATGGGAGGGTTGAAGATGCTTCAAGCACGTGCTACACTGCCCCCCACGTACCTTCACCCTCCTGGCAGGCCGAGGAAAAGGAGGAAGGCAAGAAGCCTAATGGGGTCTGGCTCCAAGCTGGATCGCCCGCCATGCTGTGCCCAGAGCAAGTGAGACTCTGAGACTAGATGCCGGGCCGCATCTTCGACCTGCACTGCCTTTCAGGTTCTCTCCTTGTTATCCAACTCCATCCAGTCCACACTTGCCCAGGCCTGTTGGTATGGTGCGACTGTCGCAAGCCTTGCACCCCTTTCTCTGATTCTCTCTGTTGGTAGCTCTGCTTCCGAAGCTGTCCTGTGAGCCTAGAAGATGCAAAGGCCATCAGTAGGACTGGCGGCTGCCAAAAAGAGTTAATCTTCATTCTCACGCCATCCTGTGGCCTCTTAGTTTTTGTGCACTCCGGAGGCCAGAGACAAGGGCTCACTGTCGAGAGAGGAAGCCAAGCAGGCGCAATGGTGCTTCTACAACAAGACGAAGACGAAGCAAGCCAAGCTCTGTTCAGGTGATGATGAAAATGGCCCTACTCAGGCCCGGCTCTGACTGGACTCAGGGTCATCTGCCCATGTCTGCCCCTCTTCCGGCTGCCTTCCGCAATGCAATCAGGAGACTCGAAAGTCTGCAACTGAGCTCTTTGCGCTTGCCCTGTCAGCATTGAAGGTCCTTGATAGCGCATGGTCAATACGTTGACAGATTCGGACGGTTCGCTTGCCTTTCACATCCTTTCACTAAAGTCCGGGAGACCGGTTTTGGCACAAGCCTAGCAACATGCCCTTGAAGGTACCGGGTAAGGCCACTGAAAGATCGCCAAACATATAATCATCGACTGGGCATGGAACATACTGGTCGGCAGAGTAGCGCAAGCACGATCTGAAGCTCCGCAAGCATGTAAGGCCCGTGCTGGTTCTGCGAAGCCCCTGTTACGAAACCAGATATTCTATTCGAAGACCTGTCGAGGCAAAGCTCCATCCCTCAGTCCAGATGCGGCCGCTGCGGACAACGTCGGGCGGCCTGCTTAGCTTGTTGCAGTGTTTCTTCTCGTTGATCTGTCGGATGGGATTTCCGGACCGCAAGAGCACGTGTAACTTGGAACTGGACGCTTGCGTTGCTTCTCGCGCTGGCTCTGAAGGCAGGATAGGACGAAATCCTAGTCTGAGCCGGTGCAGTCAGTCTGCCACGCAGAAATCTTGCCCTTGTGCCGTCGCACGCGGGCCTCTCTGAGGTGTACCGCCGTCTGCGTCCTTCTCAGCGACTCGGAGATCGACGGAGCCCTAAAGCTGCAGCAGCCGGTACTCTGCGCGCACGGGTCTGCGTTGTGACGCTCTGGGCCGAGGTGTGTGCGAATGCAGGCGACTCGCGAGCAGTCCTCTGCCGTGATTCGAAACCGGCAACCCGGCTGACCCTGCCTTTGAAAAGACTCAGACTCTGTCTTTCTCGCTCTCTCTCTCNNTCGCTCGCTCGCTCGCTCTCTCTGTCGTCTCTCTTTGCTACAGAGCTGCGAACGTACGCGGCACGGTCTCAAGGTCGAACTCTCCCAGGATCACAAGCCAAACGAAGCCGGCGAGCGCGAGCGCTGGCGCCCCGGAACGAGATCTGTGCCCAACATGTAGGTATGTAGAATGTAGGTACTATTGGACTGCTTTCAGCTGGAGGTATCGAAGCTGCCGGGGGCCGCATCGAGGAGATCCCCGTTGGCGCGCGGGCTTGGGGCTTAAGGAACCTCGTTTCAAGAGATGGGGAGCGAGTTGAAGTGTGAGGTTCACTATCGCGTCAACGGCAACCTGAACCTCTCGCGTTCTATTGGAGATTTCGAGTACAAGCCTGGCTCCAAGGCTTGAGGATGCTCGGACAGGTGCGTCTCCTCGCTGAGGTTCTCGGGACTCGCGCAGTGCATACGGACTTATTGTAACTAGTAGCCCCACAGATCGAACCTGGCCAGCTGGCACACTGGAATGGTTAAACAGAGAGACTTCTTCACTCGAGACGTAAGACGTAAACTCTGGTACTCTGGCCCAAGGAAGCAGCCCAGCCTGGGCCACGAGCGGCAGATGATCTGTTCGACGTCCCTCCCCAAGGGTTTAGGAGTT